CCCATTCCAACTCTTGACGTAGAACATGCCAGGGGGCTTGCAGATGATTGGAGTGTGAGGCTTTGGGGTTCAGGCCGGGGATTATTGGGATTCATGGCGTAGGGGCTACAAGAGCTTCGGTGTGATATGCAGGCGTCAGCCATTCGACTGGCTTGTGATTGACTTCAGGTAGGAGGCTGAAAGGGGGCCAAATTTCTAGGGAGGAGCAGGTGAAGTTTAATCAGAGGGATCCTGTGGAAGCGTATACATCGACATGATGTCAAAGGTGTGGGTCCATAACTGCAGAAATATGTTCTCTCCGGAGTCCACATTTTGACGCTTGAGAGGAGACTGTACGATCATTCAAGGTCCCGATGAACTCTCCCAGATACGGGTCATCCTGCAGCACAAAGCCTAGGAAAGCCAAACTCCCGTCAACGCCGCGTAACCAACTCGCAAGCTATAACTACTGACCGAAAACATCCTGAATCACCCGGACCTTGTCGAAGAACTCGGACGCAAAGCGACGCTGCTCATCTGGCTTCACGACGACCTAGGTCTGATGCGAGCACCGGGAGCGCTAAGCATGAACGCCGGAAGCTGTTTTTGGTGGCGCGGAAGCGTACCAGGGATTCTTAGGCTAGGGAACCGGGATTGCTAGGTTGTCTATCCCCTTGGGCAACTGTCCCGCCCTTAAGGATTACCGTATGCAGTTCAAGACAGAATCAAACCCAGCAGGCGAAACTCACTTAGGTACAGATTGTCAGGCGCCTCAGGCATAAACCCGAACCCCTTGCAAGGTTTTATAAACTCTAAACCCGCAAAGACATCACCTGCCCCACCCATGAACCCTCCATCGGACACTTGGCACCACTACGGCTCGAGCAATTGTGAAGGGCAAGGACCCTAGAAAAGTCCACGCTATGAGTCTATTGTTGCATCTGTTGTGCTGGACGTCCGATTACTTCCAGATCCCCCACGATCGACCTTGTACGAAGATGTCTAAGTGGTTCCTTATACTAGGGCACTAAGCCCCACATGCAGACTGTGAACCTAAAGCCCAAGCCGGAGCCGTAAACCACCATGCAGATCTTTCGAACCCACATAAACTATAGTCCCTGTAGCCTTCTAAACCTTCATAGAACTAAACAATCTGGATCACCGCCCTGCACCAAGCAGGCTCAGGACCTGGCGTTTGTAGATTTGCGAAACAAGAACTCCTATGGTCATTCGCTCACCTTCGCATGCAGCGTCTCGAAAGAATTCCCATGGATCCGCTTAGTCGCTCCGGATCTATAACTCAGTTACATCGGTTCCCGGACAGGCCCTCATATGGGTGAAACATCATCTGAATCTCTTCGCTGTTTGACAGCCAGAAGCCCTAAGCCCTCTGCAGATCTCATGAAGCACGGACGCCGGCAACAAGACTCAATCTGTGCCTTCGCAGGTCAAGATCTGGATGCTGAAGGCTCGGCGGCTCGGCCAGTGCAACAGCGGTGGCAGCAGCAACCTGTCCCAGGATTTCGAAGAGATAATCGCTGCTTCGCTCGTCCTTTATAAAGAGCTACAGTCTCCATTGGAGTTCCTTTTTTGGTTTAACCAACTTTGTATTAAGGATCCTATAACGTAACCCAAAAAAGGAACTACAATGGAGACTACAGGGAGCATTGTGAACCCTTCAAATTACCGCACGAGGACGGTTAAGCTTAAAACCCAGACCAGCCATGGTATGTGCAATTCGCCATGGACTTCTCACAGCACCTTGCATGGGGAAACTCGAGTCCTGTCGAGCGAACACTGGCCTGTCCGAGAGCAACCATACAAACGGCATCAAGCTCAGCGGTTGCATGCAATGCATCTGCCGACGTAATAAACCATGTTGTGGCATCCAGCCTTCATGACGCCTTCGTGGACAACTCGCCTCGGACGAAACAAGAATGGAAAGGTGTGGTCAAGTGTGCGAATGTGGATTATAACCCATGAGCCTCAGCCAGGGTCTGAAGCGCAAACGTGCGGGGCTTTAAGGTGTAAGGGTATTTTCCTCGCGACACCGGTGATCCAGCTCAACAAAGATTGAAGACGTGAGCTTTACGCCAAACGCCTTCTAACGGAGCACCGCTACTGATCAAAACATCCTTTCCGTCAAATGCTGCACACCGGGTCTTACATGTGATGTTTCCGTCATTCGTAGCTTGGCAACCCAAAATTAAAGTTGGATTTTAAGTCCAGGGGCATGGAAAGAGGGATTCAATGCAAGTGCTAAAAAGGCTTTATTACATACCTACGTTTACAACAATGTCCATATTTCTGTTCAAATTCGATTACCTTTCCGGTGAGTTGATTCTTCATGAACTTGCATGTCCCAAAGGCAGCACCGCCACCCGGTTTGGCAACATTTATACCGGTATCGCAAGGGCTCTCAAAAATCATGGGAACTCGACGTAACCCATGCGCGGATCATGGTATAACTACTAACATTTCCTGCAAAGATGCAAACCAGCAACGCACTGATCAGACTTTTTGTACGCTCACGATTATTGTACAAACGACAAAATTGCGGGTGACGTCGCCACATGATGCCACCTGCACAAGCCACAAGCCGAGTCGCAAATGCCAGGTTCATGTGGTTGCTGCGGTGTCGACTCATCGACACGGTCGTCGAATGGGTAATTGTATATAAATAAGCGGCTAGGGCGGAATTGTGTACTTGAGCTGTGGAACGGCTGTCGGACCACATCAGCGCACATCGTAAGCACGTCGGCGAGCCTTGTCCCGCAAAGCAGATTCCCTCACAGGTGGAATGAAACAAAATTACGAGCAAAACATGCAGCCGGAAACACTACACCGGGTCGGTTTGTTCAATAGCGGGCTCATCTCATAATGCCCCCACCCCACACACTCACATGCATGACTAACTGCATAACTGTTCGGGCACCTTACATCACTGCTCGGACTCCTGAGACAGGCGTTGGTTGGATACGACACAGGTTTCCGGAGCACCTACAAAACACAAGAACAGTCTGCGCGCAAGGCGGACCAACCGAGCATGCAGCCTGTTCTTTTCAACAGAGAGGCGCCTCCCTTTGAATCTACGGTGAAACTATGGCCACGTAAACATGCCTTCAGCAAAAATGTGTGGCAATGTGAAACGGACTTTCTACACATTGCAAAATATCACAAAAAATCATTGCAGCAAGGTTGGAGCCTTAATTTTGCAACGTGCAACAGATGGATCCCAGAAGCAGGTGACAGATCGCAAACAATACATATGTATCCAAAAGTCTTGGATGCTTCCCAGTGAGGCACATGTACTGTATGGCTGCGGCATGGTAGTGTTGCACGACACCCAGCCTATCCCAACTTGCTACTGCTGCCAACAATCCATGCCATGGGTCCCAGCAAACACGTATGTGCAACATGAGACAGACAGAGAGAGGGAAAAAAGAGTGCGAACAGCTTGAGGAGCACAACGTGCGTCCCCATCATTTACGTGTATATATTTCCACGCTGGGCGTGCTGCCAAGCGCTGCTTTGCTGTCGGAAGGCAGAGAAGTGCAACTCCCCGACAACCATCCGTGTTTCAGGCTTGTGCTTTGCACTCATTGGTAATTCTTCCGATCTTTCTGGTAATTCGTCCGATCTTTCTGGGAATTCTTCCGATCTTTCTGGAAGTGCTTCCGATCTTTCTGGTATTTCTTCCGACCTTTCTGGGTTTCTGGGCTCTTGCACGGACATCTAGCTTTTTCTCAATTGAAGAAACAAAGTGCTTTGGTGGTTAATCCCATGGTGCAAATGTCACAGCCCTTGCAGCTTCTGCACCGGGGCTCTTGCACAGACATGCAGATTCTTCGCAATTGGAGATCGCAATTGTAGAAATGAAGTGTTTTTGTTCATCCCGTGGGCCACGAGTCACAACCCTTGCAGAGTCTGCGCCGGGCTCTTGCGCAAACATGCAGCTTCTTCGCAATTGGAGATCGCAATTGTAGAAATGAAGTGTTTTTGTTCATCCCGTGGGCCACGAGTCACAGCCCTTGCAGAGTCTGCGCCGGGCTCTTGCACAGACATGCAGCTTCTTCGCAATTGGAGATCGCAATTGTAGAAATCAGAAATGACGTGTTTTTGTTCATCCCATGGGCCACGAGTCACAGCCCTTGCAGAGTCTGTGCCGGGCTCTTGCACAGACATGCAGCTTCTTCGCAATTGGAGATCGCAATTGTAGAAATCAGAAATGAAGTGTTTTTGTTCATCCCGTGGACAACGAGTCACAGCCCTTGCAGAGTCTGCGCCGGGCTCTTGCACAGACATGCAGCTTCTTCGCAATTGGAGATCGCAATTGTAGAAATGAAGTGTTTTTGTTCATCCCGTGGCCACACGAGTCACAGCCCTTGCAGAGTCTGCGCCGGGCTCTTGCACAGACATGCAGCTTCTTCGCAATTGGAGATCGCAATTGTAGAAATGAAGTGTTTTGGTTCATCCCCTGGGCCACGAGTCACAGCCCTTGCAGCTTCTGCGCAGAGCTCTTACACAGACATGCAGTTTGAACGACCAAACCAAGCGCTTCCCGGCTTGGGTGTCCTTTACTGACTGGTGCATGGAACACTTTGTTCGCTGCAACAGAACATGATATGACCGTATGACCAAGACGACATACTCTCACAGTACGGACAGACGACACAACTGTCGAAAAGAATACTCCCAGGTAATATCCTCACAACTCACAAGCGAGTTCACTCGAAACGGCTGCGGATGCATGCAATGCTGCAATGTGGAGTGCGAAGCATACGCGACGGTGCCTGAGGCTGTCTCTTGACAAGAAGATTGGGCTGCTGCATCGGAAGATCTGTCACCTATTCTCTGCGGATAAACTTACTCCGGACAGCTTTCCACAAATGCCAATGGCTTGCTGGGGTTTCGGGATTCATGCCGATGGTTTAAGAGGCCAGGCTACAATTGTACTCAACCGGCTTCGTGGAAAAATGACACACGGAAGCTACTTCCTTCAAGACTGCTTCGGCTGCTCATCAACGCATCATCATCTTCACGAACTCCTGATCAGTATGTTGGTTTTGGCTCGGCAGACGTGCAACTAAACAGTTTGGGCATGGGCTGGGATGCTGCAGCTCTATCTTATGGGCTAACACACATCTGACCAACATCGAGCCGGCCCTGCTTCTGCAGGTGGCGAGGAGCAGGATCATGCCACTAGATGTCTAGCGAGATCCGGAATCCGAAGGCTCCGAACACTCTTCGTTTCAGCTTCTGGCGGTAAGGGTGGTTGCATGCCCTATGGATCACTCGCAAACAAGGATAAGGAAGAGGCGGCTGCCAGTTGCTCGACCCTGACGCCAAATCCCCAAATCATGTTATTTCACCCCACTCGTACTTGAGCCCACAATCATGAAACTTTGCAACCTTAGGCGCAATGCTCCAAACGCGACATCCGAAAAGCTAATCTGACTGGAACGTAGACCCTACACGTTTCTACATTGATGCCTCAATGCCTCTCGAAAACCCTGAACGCGTCCGTTTATGCCTGCTTGGAGGTTCATGGGTAGTTATAAGTGGGGTTATAAGTATGGTAACTGTAACTATACTTATAACTCATATTAGGGGACTTATAACCCTACTTATAACTACCCATGAACCTCCAAGTGGGGCTTCCCAGGCAAGGTTTAGGAGCAGCCGCCTGATCCGACCCTACAAGCGCAGTCCTACCTATAGTCTCCATTGTAGTTTCTTTTTTGGGTTACCTTTTAGGATCCTTAATATAGAATTGGTTAAACCAACAAAAGGAACTACAATGGAGACTATAGGTACTGCCCAAAAAGTTTGAAGCCTGACTGTGTCCTGCAATCCTGACAGTTAGACCGGGATTTCCGAATTTGACCCTGAAGCAAATGTCAGCCCCACGTACACGCTCGACAACCCCATAAGACCCCATCAACAGTGTTAGTTGGCAAAGGGAGCGAACATCTCAACAAAGACGTGGAATCCTGCAATAGACACTCCCTGAAACCTTAAAGCGTGAATTCTCCAGAGTGGCAAAACTCTAGATCCCTGAACCAAACCCTCATCGCCACCTTACACTGCCAAGCGTGCTAGTTGGCAGGTCGTAGAAATATGTGTATAAATAAAAAATAACTGATAAGCCTGTTGGCCCCAAATCAAGCCAACATGCTTAACTACTCGTGGGTTTCCTGTTGACATCAACATGGCTTCCCAAGGAATTCCTAGCCATAGGTTCCCTGCAGAAACTGGGTATGAACGCTTTGGGCAGGCCTTGTAGGTCATCTGCTCCGTGTCTCCATCCTCGAACTTCGCCTCTTCGAACATCATCTCCAGCTCCTTCATAAGTACGTCGTTGTTTTTGTCTCGGTGTCGTTTTGCGTTTTGAGTGCGTGTGCTTGTTTTCTTTGTTGATGATCTTCATCGTATCCCGTGATTCGCTTCAACGTGTTGCAATCAGGTGCATTCGCCGCGTCAACCCGCACTAAGACAGTTCTGCTTTGCAAATGCCCCACCTTTCGGAGTGAGGGTCGAGGGAGGGGTGAAGTTGTGCAGGTCTCGATTAGAGAGGTTGTGGCTTCGGTTTGCGGTAAAGAAGGTGGGTGGGGTCTAGAAACCTTAAAACCCAAACCCTAAGCGGCAAACCCTTACACCCCGAAACGCCGGATTTGCAGATTTGCATTGTCAAGGGGTTGGCCATGGCGGAAGGTTCAGATCCCCAAAATCTTGAAAATGTAAGGACCCTATCTGCCCTTACCCCTTGATAGCTGGAATAGGGTTTGGGGGGGCCCTTATACTATAGTTATACTAAGCCACCCCCCAAAATTTAGTATAGGAGGCTTAGTAAGGCCCCTATATTAAATTAACTTTTCTAAACCCGACATGGGTCCTCGGAAGTGAAGTCCTTTGCCAATGATTGCATCTGCCTGCGCTGGAAAGGTACAAGCGGCAGAGACGAGTGTGAAGCAAACATCTAAGCAGCTGTTAGAGATGCCCTTCCGGATTGAGCAGAAACCCGAACCGAAACACTAAAAACCTGTACTAAGATTTGTCGAGTTAATTGAAAAAGTGTCGGGGCTATGAGAAAGCGCAACTGCGGAGAGTCGTAGGTGTTGAAACTTCGCGTCTATGGAGGGACAGCTTCGGAAAATGGTGTAGGGTTTAGGGTCACAGGGTAGTCAGGGTATCGTCTTGGTGGCAGCAGAGATTCGCTCCGGATTCTGGGGCTGTTACTGTAGCTGCTGCTTTGATGCATGGCCTTGGCCTATTGATTAAGTATAATTCGAGTACGTTCTTGAATTCCTTCTCTCATCGTTCCCCGGTATAGTAGCGTGCGCTGCAAGCCCTAGTTCGAAAGCTGTGTTCAGTTTCATTCTTAGCAGATGCACAGAATACTCCAGCAGCCTACCCTCAACCCTGAACCCCTAAACCACTCAAGCAATAACAAATCTCAAAGCGGTAAATGGGGGTCTCGGGAAACAGGGGGCTCACAAAGGTCCAAAGGAAATGCCGAGACCCCTCCCGGAAGGGACCCCGAGTATTGAGAGGCCAACTAAAGCTCTTCACAACTAGAAGTTCCTGGGTCATGTTGTAGGCTTCGACGATGCGGAGAGCTACGGTTGACGGTCTAGGGTAATCACCCTCTACAAACCCGTGGTCTTCGAGTCAAAGATCATCTCTCAGTGCCGGGCGCAATGAAGTCAGACTTCTGGATCTTGCCCTCCTTTCCCTGGGCCCATGGGCTACTCAATCTCAGTACTCTCCATGCAGTCGCTCGTCCATTCACGTGTAGACATGTACATATGCTAAATACCATCTTCCAATTCGGCCCTAGGTCTACTTCTATACAGCTGCATGAAGAAACTTGGAGCAGTCTACCAAAGTCAACGACTTGCCTTGACAGGTGCACGTGAGAAGGGCAAGTTTACCTAAACCCTCCTGCAGTTGCACGCGCTGTACTCTGCAAAACCCACTGCATCGATACCGGGTTTGATGTGTTATCGCAATCTATCTGCTGGCCCAAGACATCATTAGCTGGATCCTGCATGACCCGAACCTTGTCGAAGAACTCGAAGGCAAAGCGATGTTGCTCATCTGGCTTCACGACCTGCGTATGTACAAGGCTCGAAAGCCGAAGGCTCCAATTCGGTCATCGGACACTAAACCCTAGACCCTATTATTGGGGTTCCGGGATGATTCGGTTTGTTGTTTGAGGTTCATATACAGCTTCGCGATAATCTGGAGGCGAAAACCCTCCGACAGACAAAGGTTGGGTCTAACTAGCTTTCGGATTCCGCTTTTAGGGAGCAGTAACTGGAATTGAATCGCAGCGATACTGCGGAAGCTTGCACATTGACATGATGTCAGAAGTGCGGGTCCCCAATTAAGAAGTGAGGTCGAGTCGGAATACCTATGTTGAGGCTTGAGAGGAGACCAACTTTCACATCAAACAACGTCCCGGTGAACTTTCTCGGATATGAGTCATCCTGCAAAGCACAGAGCCGATCAAAGCAACACTTGTGCCAACACCATCCTGCAACTCTGTATCGGACACTTGGAACCAACTACCACGCAATCTGAGCTACTGTCGGGTGTAACAATGGAAAAAGACAAGGATCTTAGTAGGGGCCACATCATGACTTCTACAGGAGTATGGGAATTCCGAATACCTCGGGATCCCTCGATTTGCCGATCTTGATGTATGGAGATGTCCACAGTGTTGATTTGTTATTGGCTTTTGGTAGGTGTCTGCTCAGAATCAGCACTTCTTGATAATTGCCACTCCCGTTTGCTGAATCTCCTGTGATAAACCGAAAACATCTGGACCTAAGCTGTAAACAGTAGCACAGGAAATCGTCTTTGTGCTCGACATGAGAACAAATGCCGTAGACCCTGTACCGGGTCCTTAAACCATTAAACCCTCTATATTCCCGGAACCGAGAAAAGCAACACTAGCGTGAAGATCTTGTACACCGCATGAGTAGCCTCCCAAGCCCAGATAGAAGCCCTAATTATGACAAACAATCTTGATCACAGCCAGAAAACCGAGCAGACTCCTTACCTTTGATTAGTAGGGAATGGAAGACTGGTAGTAATAGTAGTTATAATTGTACCCCATTCCTCCATTCCCTACTAACCCAAGGTAAGACTCAGCATTCCCTACTAACCCAAGGTAAGACTCAGGACTCGGCGTTCTTAGACATCAGGAACAAGAACTCGTCCCATTCGATTTGACCTGACCTTCGCATGCAGCACTCAGGATGAGTTACCCATGGATCCATCTACAGTAGAAACCTTCAAAGTTGGGTTCCCCATAGCCTCGATCCTTAAGAGCAATGTGTAAGGAATCCCAGCACTATTTGGCCTTAATCCGGCTTCCAACTTTATGGGGTTTACTATAACTCATCTAACTAGAAATCGGCTTGTGAATTGAGCCGGAGAACAGTTTCCCACACAGGCCCTCAAAACTCAAAACGGTCAACTCCCTGAATCTCTGAGTCTCTGCGAGATAGGGAGTGTGTGAACCAACTCATCCCAGACGCCTTTAAATTTAACCGTGAACACAGAACCCCAAGCTCTCAACTCCTGAACCCTGAATGCTGAACCCCGTATCCTAAACTCGCAACCATAACCCTAAACCCCTTTACCCCAAAACCCTAAACCCAAACTCTCAGACAAAGGTTGAGCTGCTCACCGAACCGGATTTTCAATGCAACGGTCGGTCCAAAGGACTTATCTAACATAGGGGCATCAATGACTAGAATCGGGCTTTGGGGTACAATACACCGTTAATATCGGAAACTCGAAGGACTACTGTTGCTACTTATTCCGGCTTCGGCGGATTAGTTGATGCGTAAGTTTCTAACCAACGATGCAGTTGTCGGATTTTGCGTCTGCGGTTTGGGTCGTTTGGGAACGTAATCTCCACGATTCATGGTTAAGCATTACTTGTGCAACCCCCGATTGTACAACCAGTATACAGACCTATATGTCAATGTAGATTGCCTACGCGGGCGAACTTTCCGGAGAAGCCTAGCTGAGCACCGCACCCATCCGCATCCACTTCCGCAATCATGTTCTCCAACTCTTTCTTGGAGGGCCTGTCTTCGTCTTGTTTGGGCGTGGGCGGGGAGAGTTGCTTGGATTGGGGTTGTGAATTGAGGGTTTGAGGGCCTTGCTTTAAGTGGGTTTGGGTTATTTCACTGCTTTGTTTTCTTTCGGTTGGAGTCCCTGATTTGGATCTATGGGTTCCGGGATTTCAACTCGTGTCTTGGGCTGGAGGGCTCACATGGACAGCTGCCACCTGTAGCTGATGTTGACTACCATTGCCTTCATCTAACTGCAAGGGGATGCAATCCAAAGTTGCCTGAACCCGAACCCCTAATCCCTCAAGCATACACACACAGTCTACGCTCCAAACCTTCTAATTCTAACGCCACTGTTGAGTCTCCATCTCCCTACGGCCCTACGTAGTATATAAAACCTATAGCTGACACTTTCTGGAATTTGGCCAGCCCGTTGCACGATCCATCATTGGGCATGTTCGTAATTTGACTCTTGTAGTTTGAGGTACTTCAGACTTCAATCATGTAGGATTCCCTGTATGAGGGTCAAGAGTCGATAAACCGTCTGTTCGGAGTTTAGGGGCATCCGCCCACTTCCACCTCTACCTCAAACCTTCAATAAACTACAAAATATCATAATAACACAATCACGCCCCAAACCGGAAATTCATAAGAATATAAGCTCACCCCAAGAAGATCTTTTGCATCAGGGACATCTGCTGCTTGAGAACCGTGGCAGGAGGGCGCGAGACCGACTGAGCGCAGAACAAAGTTCAGCTCCTCGGAAACTCCGGTGAACAGGGTTAAGGGTTTAGGGCTAAGGGTTTAGGGTTGAGGGATAGGGTTTTAGGGGTTTGGGGTTTAGAATCCTGCGGGTCCAAGTGTCTTTATATAGTACTCACTTCGACACCTAGGACCTGGAAAGTACCCATATGTCTCAAGTTTAGGTGAAGTACATGGGCCCTTATTCAGGGAGGGAACGATTCTGGCTTGCAGGTGCAGGGCTTCACCAAGCATACCAAGCAACGGCGTGATAATTAAAAGAACAAATATGTATATATATAATATAATATATATATATATATATATATATATGTAATATGTATAATATACATATATATATATATACATATATATACATATATATATATATATATATACATATAATAGTTCAGAGCTTTGTGGCTTCCGCCATCGGCCTCGAGGCTCTGGAAGTGAAGTATCCGAGTTCAGTGCTTGTGGATCTTTGAACGAGGACCTGTCAGCTGCAAACCCTTTGTATACATCCTAACATTATCACTGAGCTAACGAACCCGAAACCCTAAAGATAAGCCCTAAGCCCTAGCACACCACCCTCAGCTCCTCCGCATCCAGAGCGCCACTGCCATCCTCGTCGAAAAGGTTGAAGATCTGCATGGCGCGGCTTTGCTTTCAAGACAGGGCCGAATATGGTCCCTTCAAAAAAACTCCGTTTAGGGTCTAGGGTTTAGGGATTAGGGTTTAGGTTCTCCCCCGACCCCCCGTTCCAAACTTGCGCCACCACAAAACAACCAAGTAACAAGCGACTCCTGATGGAAGGGGTGCCGGGTTGTCGAGGGCATCCGTCGGAAGAACCACAGACAGAAAGGGAGATATACGTAAGTATGTATTGACATATATACACATACAAGAATAATCCGAACAAGAATAAGAATAAAAATAAGAATACTAATAATACTATTAATAGTAATAAGAAGAAAAAAATAGTAACAATAACAATAACTATGTACACACCTATATATATACACAGTAATATGTATAGTAATATGTCTATATAATCATATATATATATATATATATATATATATATACGAAGATAGGTAAAGGCATAATCACGCACCTCCACAACACCTGCAGCAAGAAGAAGTTTGGCCAGGATTCTGGATAGCAGATATGCAGACGAGGATGAGAGCTACATAGGCCAAAGCATGAGGAACAACGTTTATGTTAGTATCCCAAGCTACAGACACATGTACACACAAATGCAGACACAGCCCTTCACCCTGAGGAAAAACCCGTTGAAGCCTCAAGTCAAGCTCCACTGAACCTGAAGACCCTGTACTTAATCCGACTTGCAAAACCGGTGACAATGGAACTGCATTGCTGCACTTCTGCCACACAGGTAGCAGGACCGTCTCTCTCTCTCTCTCTCTGTCTCTCTCTCTCTCTCTCTCTCTCTCTCTCTCTCTCTCTTATACAAATACATATATGTATATATATATATATGATCATGCAAGACTTGTTGATGGTAGCACTTGTTGTGCTGGCACTAGCAGTTGAAGATGAAGATGCTACACGTGCGAAGCGCGGAAGCCTCCCGGAGTTCGTCCAGTCGCTCCTGTGAGTCATTGAAATGATAGAAACAAAGCCTGTTCCTGTGAATTTGCTAATAGGTGTTCTGTGGGCTTGTTTTACGGGCTCCTTGTAAAGAGGTTGCATAGGATTTCTGTTCGATGTTGGTCCTTTTGAGGGCTTCCGTTTGAGACTGCCGGAAGGCTACTGTCATGGTTGTATCATGGGAGATGATGCGCTCTGGTTTCGGATTTGGGGTTTCGGGTGTTGGGGCTTTGGATCTTCTTCCATCGAGTCGGCGATGGCATCTTCTTCGCCCCCAGCGCAAGTACGGGCTAAGGGTTGAGGAATGTGTGGCTAGGGCATTGGCGGCTTTATGCTGCGTACATGCATTTGGTGTTTCTTTATCCTGTGGACATGTATGGGTTGCCCACTGGGCAAACATTATCCATTCCCGTAGAGCCTGAGGGATTACCAACACGATATATGAGGGAATCTTGGTCCCTTTGCCATATGGGAGTTTCCGGGAATAAGGGACCCCAATATAGTACCCTAAATAGTAGAAACCCTGTTATAAGGAACCCAACACAAAGTAATTACCCCTAATTTTCGGAAACTTCCATATGCTACACCTGCCCGATGCATTGCGGCTCCTGTGTGAAGGCATTCTCCAATCCCTGGCCACCGCCATACCTGAGATCGGTCGACAGGCTGTCGCTGTTTCAGCTCACTGTCGGTAAAAGTTAGGGTTTAGGGGTTTAGGGTTTAGGGTAAGGGTTCAGGGTGTAGGGATTGGTGTTTCTGCAGGCTGTCGGTTTGAGCTCTTTAAGGCGTCTGTATTTTATGAGAGTTCTTCACTTCACAGCTTCAGCACCTGGTTCTTTAAGGTGTCAGGCTTAGGAATCCGGCAGTGGGGTTTTTGCGAGCTGCAAAACTTTGCTTAGGCACTGGCAGTATCGGCACGTAGTATTAACGATAGTACCGACGGCAGTGGGCTAGCAGCTGTGCTGAGTGCTAACCATAATCACGGTAAGTAGGTTTCAACAGCTCAGCATTTACTGAACATCCGAATCTACAGGACTGTGAGGCTCTGATCCAGGACAACAGGGCGCGAACCGGAGTTTAGGGCCGTAGGGAGTGATACTCAATAAATATGATGCGCTGACTGAGCTAATTGCGCAGAGTATATACACATGTTATCCATCTTGTGTGTATCTTCTATCTAAGAAGGTGCAAGCACTTCTCAGGCACCGGCTGAGACATCATTGAGAGGAACTCTGGCCACTCGATGACGCCATTGCCGGACAAGTCCGCCTGATGGTTGGATTGGGTTCTCATGGCATAGCAACCCTCAGCCCTAAACCCTAAACCGCAACTGCTCCCGGACCTTATCAAGCACACGACACCCTAGAACTCCGAAGCGAAAAGGCTAAAATGCACTCGCCCTCAACCCTGCGTCTCGCTAAATCCTGTTTCGCACCTTGAGCCCTTAACGAAAAGCAAAACCCTATATCCTGATGCCAATTCAACTTCCAATTCACAGGGCCATAAACCCTACCTAAACCTGGCACGCAAACACCAACTGAGAATCCGGATGCATACAGCCTCCAGAGCCCTAAACGCTGTTTCAGCGAGGTTTAAAGCAGAACCTTCGTGAACTTCTCATGGAGTTCCTCGACGTTCAGCCTGGGCCAGGATCGCGACTTGAAGGCTACTTTGGAGGATCCGGGGACATGCTTCAGGGATTACGTTAGACAGGCCTGTATCCAAGCATACACATATATGATAGATGTCTGTGCCAGTATGTCTGTCTGCATGCACATTTGCAATGCAGAATCTGCGTTAGAGTTTGGGACTAGCCCCAAGGGTCCATGTACTCGTATTATAGTACATACTTTGGCCTTGATGTAGTCCCTATACAAGTACTTTGGGGCCTGAGTATATAGGGGCCAAAGTACATACTATTCGTGCACATGGACCCTTAGGGTAATACCTCTAGTCTCCATTGTAGTTCCTTTTTTGGTTAACCAGTTTCATGGTTACAACCCTATAATAGAGATTTTGGTTCACCAAAAAAAGGATCTACAATGGAGACTGTAGGTACGTTTTCCGGAAATAGGGGACCTAATAGTATACCCTAAAGCCCTAAATAGTAGGATCCTTATTATAAGGAACTCGGAGCTCCAGGCTCACGATGTCGTGAAGCTTTCGTTGCGGGTTGAGGGCACACCATCTGCCACAAAAAATAAAAACAATCCCGGACCAAGAGTACAAAAAATGAGCCCTTACTGCGTCTTGGAGAGTTCAGAATAAAACAGGGCACCCTAAACAACCTAAATGCATAGTGAGCTCCTTATCAACATGGGCTGACCCATCTGTGACCTGAGGATCCGACTTCATCCCGATCATTTGGAACGCCACGCCCAGGCCATCCTGAAGATAGCAAAAGCGAACTATTGAAAAGTAGAAGCAGCTGTGATTGTGGCGGGGGTTGGCGGCGGCTGAAGCAAACTAAAATGCGTCCCTATGAACCATGTGTGAGTAAGTATGTAATTCTGTGTGTATGTACGCATGCATGCATGTCTGTATGCGTGTGCGGATGTAAACAAACAAACATATCTATATCATTTATATGGCAAGATCAACGCTGAAGTCTATATCGTCGCCCGAACTTCGCAGCGATACGTGGAGGAGAAGCAGTCATGTCTAGCGTTGCAGCTCGGCGCTTCCGGACACCGCCTCAACCCTAAACCCTAACCCGAATAACGCCCGGGCGGCTTCGTGGATGACGGCTATTAAACCCCACGCCCTACACAACAGTACGAGGAAATACGACCGGTAAGTATTCTTACATAGATATGCATTCTGTATGTATGCCTTTCCGTTTGTGCATGTGCATGTGTATGTGTGTATATATATATAGAATGGTTTATATGTAGATATACACATAGTCTACTATACCTGGTTTGAGCGAGGAGATTCACTAAGATCTTCATCAATCAGGCCTGAGAAAAGTTAAGCAGGGCTCAGCTCTAGGATTCCGGGGTTGGTCCAAAGGGTTTTTTTGGGATTTTGGAAATTTTAGAATGTAGTCGATTTTTTTTTGAGGGGGGGCGGGGGTTGGGTATGTGTGCCACTCAAGATACTTGCAATTGCTTCAGCCAGCCTTCTTGCCGGGTCTTGGGTTTGGATCAGGTCCACAACACTCGTAAACATCTCAGAGAGGGTAACGGCAGCTGTTGTTCATGGTTAGGGGTTAAAGGGGTTCATGTAATGTATGGCGAGATCTAAACTCCCCGAAAGCCTAGCCTAAGTAAAAGCAATGCCGCAAGCAGTAACACCCGAAGCCCCATCAACCTTGAAGCCTCACCTGGGCCTAGTCTTAGAAAACACAAACTGTGTGCTGACCTCTAACATCCAATCGAAAAGGATCCTGTCGTCCTTAATTGCAGCCGCCGTTCATCTACATGGGGGGCCTCGAACGACATGTAGGAGGGTCTGTGCCCTGCATAACTGCAAGGCGCCACACCTGTGCACCCGAACTGACACCTAAACCCAGAATCGGAATAAAGCCCAAACCGGCATGAACCCCAAGTAAACTCCCCGAACCCAACAATCACCATAAAGCTCAAACCATGAACAAAACTCTCTTCCAAACCTCCAGCAAAATGAGAATCCACAGCCCGTGCGCCTCCGTGATGTGCCCGACGCTATCTGCATCGATTGCTTCGAAGCACCTCATGGCTTCAGAAATATGGCTGCGCAAGGGGTTTGAAGAGCTTTTGAATGGTTGGTGATATCGAGTCTTACAGGGTTCTATTGGAGGCCGAATATGCTATGCGCCATTTAAAGCAAGGGAAACTTCGAAGGACAGGATTTTCTAGCTCTGAGATGACCTCACACCCACGAAGCAAAAATGCGAGGCAGCAAAGGCAAAGGCGCAAATTGAGCTCTACACATCGCTGAAGCGGGCTGGAAGAAGCCGAAAGTAGGTGTCAAGTATGGACTCTAGACTCGGACGTGGTTCACTGCCTGAGGGCAGGGAGCTTCAAGTACTCAAGACATCTGAGAGCAGAGCCCACGAATTCGAACGAGGTCTTCGGCGGGAACCGCAACCTGCAATGCAGGGCTGTTGAGATAAGGTGAAGGGGCTCCAGACTTCGGGATCCGCATCGCGTTCACGCTTTTGTTGTGGGGTCAAACCTAAGTGGGCTGGAGTTTGAGCTTTAGGGCGCAGGGAAGTTGAGTCTGCAACCAAGACACCATCTCCTCCCGTTTTGGCCAAACCTTTGGAGCTAGGACCTCGTATTTGTTGTGGTGTGCAGCGCCTTCTGCATTGCAGCCCTGAAAAGAGGGTTCAGCTTCCCTACTCCAGTGCTTTAATCAAAAGGGAAAGGAGGGACCCTTAATAAGGACCCCTAGGCATATACTCTTAATATAGCTATTATACACCCATTATATAGCCCATTATAGGGTAGGGGTCCCCATTAAGGGTCCCTCCTTCTCCCCTTTGATTTCAACCTGGAAGTTGAGGATTAGGCCTTCGCGGTTGTCTGCAGGTTTTTTGTCTTTGTGTCGAGGGTTTAAGGTTTTCGATCTCGAGCGCAGGATGGGTCCGTAAGGACTCATAGGGTTTCAGCGCTTCAGCGAAGGTCTGTCAGCGCACCACTGAAGATGCCTGGTAGTAGATATTTTGTCAAAAAGAACATGAATGAACACTAGTTGTAAACTCGAAATCCCAAAGCCAGCTTGTTCATGACCAGTTTATGACCCTCGTCCTCCGAGTAGCTCCGAAATCGGCCCCGTCTGAGATTGGGGTTCGGCTGTGTCTTCTTAACGTACTACGAGTGTGGTGCCTCGATCCTCAACCCGGCGGGCTCAAGGCATATCTCTATGTCAAGTCTTATCTTCTTCCGGTACGTGGTCCAGGTAAAGACGGTTCAGAGTCAGACGGTTGAACCTCGAGTTACCCTATCTTCAATCAAAGAGGACGAGTATAGCAGAGCCCTAGAAAGGGTTAGGGGATAGGAGTATCCGAAAGAAGGATGCGCAGAGACAGAGAATAAAGCAATCTGCATCAAAGCACTTTTTGGAACTTGGAACCCAGTCATATAAGTAAACTATTGGACAACAAGTGACCCAAAGAAGCTACTACCAATCAGGACAAAATCATGGAAGGAAACCTCCTTCTTCTTGCGGATGCACTTGACGTCCTGTGCAGGCACGCGGCTTCTCGGCGGCTGATGCACGCTTGTGCTCGTGCATGGTGCACCAGTAAACGTTAGGGTTGATCTCGGCAAATTAGTAACCAGGGCCTTCCAAACAACCTCCCTGGGATGCACATATTCTAACCCTACGAAAACTCATCCAAGTGACCTGATTTTGGGCCCCTTATATAAGTAACATTCTATGCTACATAAACTGACATTATGTGTTCCTAAGTGGTATCAATGCTCATAAACTGACATTATGCAGGGCTCTGTTAAGATACATGGGCCGGGTTGTTCAGCATATATATACAGTAAGTAAGGGTGTAAACCAACTTCGCACGCAAGCCGCCGGCCTCAGCAGGCTCGTCATGTTAATCAACATGAGCCCTGATCCCTAAATCCCGAACCCTCTGCTATCAGATATAAAGCTCAATAGATGAATGTAACCCCAGCTTAAGCTCGTCTAGGTGTTATTTTTCTCCGCATGCTTGCACGCATGTCGGCCACCCGTTTTCTTCGCCTCGGGACAGGCCGAGGATCCAAGGGTTAGGGTTGGAGTTGAATTTCGTTAGGTTTATGTGGCATATATAGGGGCTCACTTTCCTGTAGGGGTCTCCCTTGCATCGGGTTTAGGTGGCATAGGGTTGGGGTTGACTGTCCTTAACTCGGGTTTTAGCTGGCATAGGGGTTAACTGTCGTTAACTCGGGTCTTCCAATATATGGTTGGGGTTGAGTTTCGTTCTGGGTCTTCAGAACAGTTTTGGTTTTGGAGCATGATCTGGATTCTTGGGTATGCGGCGTTCCGTTTAGGATCGGGCTGGGATTGAGGATAAGCTAGGCAGCTAGGCCTAATTCCTATATTATTTATTGGGCACGCTGTCCCTTGCCAAGCCCCTGGGCCCTGAACCCTGAATCCTGAATCCCGACGGGTTTAAAGTCTTATAGGTTTCAGGTTGGGCGCCGAATGTAGGGATTCGAGATCTAGATAGGCAACCCCTGACCGGGGGCGAGACGTTAAGCCTATATAGGTCTTATTCGCTCTAGTTATAACTCCGGGATTTAAGGCTTCGGAACTCGAGGGTGTTATTTCAGACTTAAACAGGGTTTTTTTCCTACCCATCGGAGCACTTGGCCTGCACGTTCGCACCGTTGGTCGTGCGTGGGGCAGTGCTGACACCTTGAGGCACTCGGCCGCGACGCCATGCCCCAGCTTCAGCGAGCACTGCGGGACTCGTCCGACGAAGACGATCCTCCTAACTTCCGGGATGAGGAAGCAAAAAGGCCCGGCTTTGTGGCAAATGCCCGGCAAAAGCAGATCCCGGCCCGGATCGACCACCCCTGTCCAAGGCCAAGGATCTCTTGCCCAAGGGGCATCGCCACAGAACTGCACTCATCACTCGTTCATGGGATGGATGGAGCGTCATCTGAGTGATGAGTTGGACCTGGAGCTGAATGCCAAGTTTCAGGGCATTCGAGAGTCGCTCCAGATGGCAGCCGAGCACATGCAGACCGACATCAGTCTGCGGGCCCACGGCCCATGCAAGGGTTTAGGGGATAGGTAGGATAGGTCTAGGTCCTATAGCTTTAGCTAGGTTGAAGGGCTGTATAGGATAGGATCCCCCCATTTTCCTTAAGCCCTAATCCCGGAGTTTGGGGTCCGCTAGTCCAATCGGGGTTGGGTCTCGGGGATAGGTAGGATAGGTCTAGGTCCTAGGCTTTAGGTGCGAAGGGCTGTATGTAGGATAGGATCCCCCCCATTTTCCTTAAGCCCTAATCCCGAATCGAATTTGGCAAACCCCACTCCAATTGGGGTTGTCTTAAGCCCTAAGCCCTCACCCCGGCCCAAGGGTCTAGGGGATAGGTATAGGATAGGTCTAGGTCCTAGGCTATAGGCGCGAAGGGCTGTAATATAGGATCCCCCCCATTTTCCTTAAGCCCTAATCCCGAATCGAATTTGGGGTACCCTGGTCCAATTGGGGTTGTCTTAAGCCCTAAGCCCTCACCCTCTATAGGATCCCCCCCCATTTTCCTTAAGCCCTAATCCCGAATCGAATTAATTTGGGGTACCCTAGTCCAATTGGGGTTGTCTTAAGCCCTAAGCCCTCACCCCGGCCCAAGGGTCTAGGGGATAGGTAGGATAAGTCTAGGTCCTAGGCTATAGGTGCGAAGGGCTGTAATATAGGATCCCCCCCCATTTTCCTTAAGCCCTAATCCCGAATCGAATTTGGGGTACCCTGGTCCCATTGGGGTTGTCTTAAGCCCTAAGCCCTAACCCATATATATATATATATATATATATATATATATATATATATATATATATTCGCGGCGGACCCCAACCCGACTTGTTCAAAATCCCGGCCCTTGCCCGGCTCCAAACTAAACCCTCAATCCCAAACCCGACCCCCCCACCCACTATGAAATCGCCAATATTCCTAGCTTAAGCCCAACGTACACAGTCCTAAATCCCAAACCCAACCCTAGACCCTAGATCCTTAACAACCAGGCCTGAGGCCCAGCCCCAAGCCCTAATCCCGAACCCATTATATCGGCCTTCTTGCCAATCCTTAAATCCCAAACCCAACCCTAAAGCCCACATCCTTAAAGCACGGGCCCGAGGCCCAACCCTAAACCCCATGTCCCGAATAACGCTATAGCCGCGGATCGATATAAAACTTATAATAATACTATATAGTATAATTAGAGCCAAGATCCAGAAATCGCAGGTGCATCTCCGTGCGCGGCTGCCTCTTCTTGCGGCTGCGGCGGCCTTGGCCACAAGGCCGCTTCAACCCATATAGGCTGTCGGGTTAAAGGTTTCAGAATTCGGATGTCGGGGTGTGCATAGGGATATGTTTCATTTTTTTTGGGATCAGGGGTGAGGGTCTTGTTTTGGAGTCATTTGGGTTTATAATAGGCCGGTCATTAGTGCAAAATCCCTAAACGCAAAACCCTAATGCATTCGGCGTTGGGGGGTTCGGCGCATCGCTGGGAGATGGTGGTGCACCGAACCCCCCAATCCCGAACACAAAACCCTTAATCCCCTATACTCCTTAATTAATCCTTTCTGCGATGCAGGTGCTGGCCGGCTTGCTGCATGATGATCGCCGGTATGCCTGGGCTCCCAGATCGGGGAATATAGTTAATTCAATAAATTATAGCTATATATATGGGTCGAGTTTTCGAGATTTAGGGTTTAGGGTTCGGGCTCGGGTTTCGATATGGCCCAGCCTCGTCTTATATAGTTTGTACTAAATATAGGGTTCAGGGCTTAGGGTTCTAGTGCAGGGTTAAGTGTTTTTCGCTCGGCTAGGGCTTCGGATTTAGGATTTGGGATGCCGTTATCCCGGGGTTAAACCTGAAACCCTTAACGTGAACCCTAAAACCTTGAACCCTAAACCCCAAACCCCGAACCTTTAGCGCCTACAGCTTTCGAGGTTTAGGGCATAGGGTCTAGAGTTTGGCTCGGGTTTCCATGGTCAAATAGCATTCGGCCAGAGCTTTGCATGTAGGGGTTTCGGATGCCCTTTTT